AAAAAAAAAAAAAAAAAATTAAAAAAAAGGCTTGGCCTCGGAACTTCATTCCCTTGTTAGCTTGCTTTACCTTACCACTTAACCTCGAGGTTGCCTTTAAAGACCCCCTTTTAGCCTCCATATCTGCTCAACCCCTCAAAGGGGAAATTAAATTAGCAAAATTAATACAGCATATTATTACCCTTCCACCCACGAAAACTGCGGGTCCACACCTCGGGAATCGATCTTTTTGTGCAAGGCAGTGGGCAGTGCAGCCCACCCTGGCGCATCGCGCCCCCATATTTGGATCCCGCCTTTCTGCAGCTGCGGGTCCAGCCTCGCCCCTTCCCCCTACGAAACCTCGCCAAGGGAAACGCACAAGGGAAGAACCGCCTCGCTTTGTTTCGAGCCGCTTGCGCATCTCCCTGCCAGAACGATTTTTGCACCGTTAGGAGATCCCCTTTAAGTGAAACCTTATAGAATCTCGGTCTCCCCCCACATACCCAACCTGAAGGATACTGGTAATCGCTTCCCCAAAATGAGCCAGCAAGAAAAATAATCCCCTATTTTTCAAAAAGCACCTAACGATAATTGGGCATTATACATATATTACATTTTGGGGGCAAACCTAGATTAGAGATGGGCAGTGCAATGTCCCCCAACCATCCTTTATCATTTACCCGATTACTCCTTCTCAAAAGAAACAGACAAAAGAAGGGGTTTACAATCCTTACCTTGGCACCGATCTGGTTGCCACACTGACCGGCCTGGATGTGCACGATTTCCCTCATGGTTCAAAATTTACTTTAATTTTTGTGCTCGCCTCGAAGTGTGTACGGGGCAAGAGAATGCTATGTAGGTTTTTTTTCTCTGCTGCTGGTTGCAGTCAGGAAGGCTGGGACCCCGGAGGCTAGAGCAGCGAGGTCCGAACGCGGCGGCAGGAAGGTTCTGAGAGGGAGAAAGGAGAGGGGAGGGCGCGAGAGGAGGAGGGCAGGGCGGGGCGCGCGTGCGCGGGGCGGGGAGGCGGGAGAAAGCGCCTCGCGCCGCGGTGGGAAGACAAAGCCTCGGCGAGGCAGGTCCTGATTAGTCGGCGCCCGCCCTGTATTACTCGGCCATTGGTTTCTGTCCCGGGCGACAGTCGCAGTTCTCTCTGGGAGTTGTAGTCCTCTATTGTTGTCCACGCTGCAAAATGAAGGGATGAATGGGTGGGTACAGGTTTTTTGGTTTTGTGTTTTTTATGAAAATTTACCATGCTCGAGATATCTTTTCTCTGTGCCCCAGCTTTTGTACGAAAAATGATTCGTTTTCGGGAACACAGGAATTGGGAATCTTGGGGTACCAGCCGTTAGAAAGAGGGGCACGCCCTGAGAACTCCCCGCAGCGGGAGCTGTCTGGGAAAGACTGGACTGCTTAGCTCAGCGAAAACCGGGAGAGATGTGGCACCCTGGCCAGCTATGTAACGGCTGGTCCTTTGGCGACCCCAAAGCATGAACTCCAGTAAGCTGCTGCTCCTCCAGATACCTCTGCGAGGAGAGGATTGCCCCCTGCTATTTCTTTGAGAGTTGTTCTCATGAAAATGTTTAGAAAGAGAAATTCACTGCAAAGCGTTTTCAGGACAGAGATGTAATGTCTGGAACATAAGGTGCTTCCCGCCCCAGCAAAAAAGTTGAATGGCTTAGAAAAACTAGTGTCTGCGGCTTGTGAAACTACACTTCTCCCTCCATGTAGATCTGGGCCTTAAAGCAGCACTGAAGATACCGCGCTTGCCAAATAAAACTGACGTGAGATCCCTGTAGAATTTCAGTCCTTCCGGCCTGCCTTTAAACACTTTGATGAGTCTAGTTTTTAATTCACCGAGTTCACTGACCCAATGGCTGACTACTGTAACCTTTCAAGCGACTCCTGGATTGAAATAAAGAAGTGGTTGATGTGAGAAAATTGAACGTATTAAAACGAGTGGCATGCTTCTTCTCAGGCATTAATCATTCGCTAGATACTAAGTATCCAACTACAAGAGAGGGATACAAAAGCATTAAGAATTTGCTTACAATTCTTGCAATTTAGTGAGTATTGTAACAGTGTGGTAAGCACTGTAACCGAGGACATGTGATAGCAAGGTCATAGTTAATCACACTGTATTCAACACACATTTCCAGTCACCTTCTAAAGGAACATAAATTGTCGGAGATCCCTCTACCAACCTAAAATGTTTCAGGCATTCGTAAAGTAGTAGTCGTATTGTAGCAGCGGAAAGAGTTCAGAATTTGGAGTGAAAAGATTTGTTCGGATTTGTCCCTATCTTATATGTAGGAACCTAGGCAAGTCATTTAATCTCGCAGAATTTAATTCCCTCTGTAAAATCTACAGCTGCCCACTTGATTACTGAGGAGGGGATGCAGTGAGATAACGAATGCAAAGGCACTCCCTAAATTAAACAATTGTGAAACCGTTTCTATTTTCTTCAGGTTTTGGTATAATGAAGTAAAATAACTTTATCCTTCCGCACCCGCCGAAAGACCACGGTCATCCTTTAATAGGGTTAGTAAAACAGTTATCCCTGTTCGTTTCACATCTCAAAATGTGCATCAGGGGTGTACTCTCAGGGAAGCAGTTACATGACTTGTACGGAACAGGCCAAATCAAAAGGACCTTCCATTACAATGAGTCCTCACCACACCTACAGGCTGTTCTCCAAACTGCAACCTCCAGCCACGACTGCAAACCGCAACCCAGTTTCATTTCTCCTGAGTCAGCGGCCACCATATCTGGGAGGACTAAAGGGCGCTCTGGCCCCACGAAAGGCTTAGGGCGTTGACTATGGTAAGCCACTCTATCCGTCATCGGCGCCAGACTCTATGGTCGCGGTTTGGAAACTGCGCGGGAAGTGGGCGGTGTGTGGTGAAGCGTCGTGGGTTGTCCCTTGGAGCTACCCAATGGGAATGCGTTGTTCTGAGCGCTTACTGCGCCCTCGGATTACCGCCTCACTTAACCGTTCTTAGACTCCCCGGAGGCACCGCCCCTTTGAGGTTTACGGGGCGGGGCTGGACAAGGGAGGGACTTTGCCTACCGGCGTATTGATCAATCAGCGTGCAGCAAAGCTGTGAGAGACAGAACCGGCAACCAATCGGCCTATAAGCTCCTCCCCACTCTGCACTCGCGCCGCCGATTGCGGCCGTTACTGGAGGCGTGCGGGGGGACTTAAAAGTAGGTGAGTTCTGGGGGACCTCGCCCACGTCTCCCGGGTGCCATCTTGGTTCTCCGGGAGGGCGGGAGGGGCGTGCCTTAGATGCGACTGGGCGGAGGAGATTTGGAAATTTGCAGCTCGGATTATAATACCGGCCCTTACTTGACTCTCCTCCCAGAGTTTAGGTATGAAGACACAGGGAGGCTCTGGGCTAGGTGCGACCCCCTGAGGTGGGGCTCAAAGATGGTTGCCTCCTGAATTGAAGCCAGGGGTCAGGGACCGCCCCTGAGCACTCCAGTCAAGGATGGAGCTGGTCCTGGCCGTAGGAGCGTCCTACTTTCCCAGCCTGTCTCCAGTTGCTCTCCGGGGCGGCCTCTGAGAGGAGGCTCGTGCTGTTCGGCTGCATCGCCTTTCGTTTGTTCTTTTCACCAGTAGACTCGGTGATGTGACACTCTGGAGGGCAGGGTGAATTTTATGTTCGGTTCATGAATGTATCCCAAATACTTCGAGCCGCATGCACCGTAACTACCTGTGAATCGCAGTGATGGATTTCAGGGGAAATTAGAGTTCTGCTGGTCTGCGGGGGGAGGGGGGCGGGTCTGGGGGGGGGCGGGGGCAGAAACGAAAATGATGATTACGGTGTGATAAGTGTCAGGATAGGGCCGAGGCCACTGACCACTGTGGAACACGTGGACACACCGGAAGCGGGAAAGACTCCAGGGAAGGCTTTGCGGAGGAAGTGACGTTTGAACAGAATGTAAAGGTTGGGTGGGAGTTGGAGCAGAAAACTAGAAGCCAAGCTCCAAGGAGATGTTCTAAGGAATGCAAGTGTGGGGGACAACAGGGGCAATATGTTCAGAGATCTCGAAAATCCATGTCGCTGAGCCATAGGCTTGAGGGAAGGGGTACTTATATTGTAGAACATGAGATTTCAATCAGGGGTCTTGCCAGGGGGTCTAGGCATGAACGATCAGAATATTAGACAGGAGAAATACCTGGGTGATTTGGGGCAATTTCCTTAACCTATCTTTGTGGCAGCTTCTTTATCTGAGAAATGGGAGACAATAATAGTACTTTATTTTGTTCTTGAGACAATTAGATGAGTCACGCTTGGCTCAACAACCCTCAAACCTCTCTATATATTGGCTGTTACAGTTTTTTCCAATTTTCTTTATGATCTAGAAAAGTATAAAAGCATGGAGTTGGCAGCCAGAGCCACTTTTGTTCCTTTCCTTTCCACTTAACCCTCTGTTCTACCCAACAGTTTTTGCCTTAATGTCCTATTACCAACTTCAGAGGCTACTATGCTTGACACATAGGTGATGCTTTGCAAAAGCTAGCTCCCTTTGAAATGGTGTGGGTTGCAACCCAGTGGTGGAGAGGGAAATCAAATTAGTGGGTTGCAAATTGGCATCTAAAAAATAAAGAATGGGGTCTCCCTAGTGGTGCAGGGTTTGAAGTCTCAGCTTCATCAAATGATCACCAGCCACAGGGGCATGAGTTCAATCCCCAGGCAGGGAGCTGACCCACACAGCACAGTAGCCCTCTCCTGTCTCACCCGCTGCTCCCCTCAGCAGTGTATTTCACTGGTTCTGCTTGTTCTGCTCCCCACTCTGTCTCTGGTGAATCCTCTCACTCTTCACACCTCTGGCCTACACCCAGTTCGTGTTTTCTAAATAAATAAAAATAAATTTTTTTTAAATAATAAGAGAAGGGGGAAAGTAGAATGAAAACAGTAAGGCTAAGCATTGTTTCAGAATGTTTGTAAATAAGCACATGAGTTTGTATGTAGTTGTATACTGGGGACCTTATAATATTTCTTCAGAAGGATAAACAGAACGGTTGGCAGAGAGAGGGGGCATTAATCTTCATAACTCTAGATTTACTCTGGTTTATCAGTTTCCTCTCTTGAGGCTCTGTGTGTGAACCTATGACTAATGATGATAATGTGTTTCCTTCCCAGACCATGGAGGCTACGCAGGTTATTAACTGGGAGGATGACGAAGAGGATGAGGCAGAGGAACCCAGTGAACCGTTGGGGTATAACTTGGAGCCGCTAGGGCGACTGCGTATCTTCAGTGGTGTCCATGGACCAGAAAAAGGTTGGATTATTGGGAACTGAAACACTATTATAGATTTCTTATTTTTGTGGGGAGACAGTTGGAGGAGTGCAAGAAGCTTTATATGTTTCAAGGAAATCTAAAAATGTTTCCTGCTGGGAACGGAGAATCAGGTGACTCCACACCCCTATCTTGGTAGACCAAAACTGAAGAGATTCAGATAAAAATTGATCTAGAAATGGATGGGGGTGGTGGTTGAACAACAGTGTGAATGAATGTAGTGCCACTGAATTGTGTGCATAAAAATGATTAAAATGGAAAGCTTAATGTATACTTTACCACAATAAATAAAACCCAGTGTCAATGGGTAGGGTATATACTTTGAATAATAATGCATTGCATATTCTTCAATATCTAGATGTCCTAAAGAGTCTTATTTTTCTAATTCATGTGGAGCTCGTGGGTGACAAGGCGGTATTTAGCAGGAACAATTTCCTAATAGCAGGTCAGGCCACTCTGGCCATGGAAACGCTCTACCTCTCTCGTCCTTAGATTTCCCACTATACCTCGGGAAGAACGTGGTGGGCCGGATGCCTGATTGCTCTGTGGCCCTGCCCTTTCCATCCATCTCCAAACAACATGCGGTGATTGAAATCTTCGCCTGGGACAAGGCACCTGTTCTCCAGGATTGTGGGAGCCTCAATGGTACTCAAATCCTGAGGCCCCCTAAAGTCCTGAGCCCAGGGATGAGTCATCGTCTGAGGAACCAGGAGTTGATTCTCTTTGGTGACTTGCCCTGTCAGTATTATCGGCGGGATGTCTCCCTGCCCTTTGTCTCCCGCGGCCCTCTAACTGTAGAGGAGACACCCAGGGTTCAGGGAGGAACTCAATCTCGGGGGCTCCTGTTGGCTGAGGACTCCGAAGAGGAAGTAGGTAGGTGTATGTGTTGCGAGGGAGGTGAGGAGAGGGCCTGGTAAAGGTAAGACTGTCAGCTTGCTTTTCTACTCTTGACAGATTCTCTTGCTGAAAGGTGTGTGGAGAAAGAACCAAGCACCACATCCTCCACTTTGGCAACAGTAGTCCCGGAGAGGTGAGGGCCCAAGGGCAGACACCTGTGCCTTCAAAGGAAGCAGAGTCAGGGGCAGAAGGATCTATCTCTAGAGAGATAGTTATTCTCATAAGCAGAGACCAGGGGACTACACACACTCTCACTCAGCTGGATTTCTGTTGTGTACCTCTGATGGGCCAAGTAATACTAATTACTAGAGATTGAAAAATAGATCATGGGCCTCCCTGGTGACACAACGCATTAAAGCACAGCACTGTGAAGCAGCTGTAGCCTCTGCAGCAGGAGTTCTATCCCTGGCCAGGGAGCTGACCCACGTGGTGTGGCAGATGACTCCTGACCCCTCAGCAGTGCATTTCTGTACATCTGCCTGTTCTCCTCACTGTCTCTGTGAATCCTCTCACCCCCATGCCCCCTGCTCTGGTACCTGGCATGTACTCCTGTTCTGTAAGCATAAATGAGTAAGTCTTTTTTAAAAAACAGGAAGAAAGGAAGGAAAGAAAACAGATCATACCTGTGTCTGTTCTCAGGGAGCTCACAAATGAATGGGGGTATCTCTGCTTGGGAAATAGATTCATTAGACTTTTCTTTTTCCCTCACAGTGATGAAGAGGGGTCTTCACCTGTTCAGGATGACCCTGGACCACCCTTTGCCTTCAACTTGGACAGTGACACTGATGAAGAAGCAAACCAGCCACCAGCAGCAAGGGAGGCCTCCTCAACTACAGAGACAGAACAGCCTAACGCTGAAGGAGGCACAACTGAAGGTCAATTGGGAAAGGGACAATATTCAGTGAAGGACAGGGGGAATGGCACAGAAGTTGAGGGGGGTACAGGAACTGGGGTGGTTCCAGTTGGGGTGAAAGTGGAGAGGAGCCAACCTGCAGGGGAAGACAGCGACACAGATGTGGAAGGTGAGAGCACGTCCAACAGAGGAGCAGTGAAGGTGCATTTAGAAGTGACCGAGCCTCGTGGCCTCATAGACAGTGATACAGATGTGGAAGAAGGCGGGGTCTCCGTGATCCCAGCTGTAGTTCCTATGAAGAAGAGGCAGTTCTTCCGTGGAGTTAGTACAGAGAGTCCTGGGGCACGTGTGCAGGAGGACCCCGCTAGTAGTGACACAGATGTGGAGGAGGGTGACAGCCGGGTGACGGTCCCTTTGGGGAGGAGCCGAGCTTCCGTTGTGATCGATAGCAATACCGAGGACGAGGACGAGGTCTCTGCAGCACTCACTTTGGCATGTCTGAAAGAGAGTCACGCCACTACCTGGAAACGAAATCCAGAAGTCGAAGGGCACAGGGCCCAGCCAGGGTTCCTGAAGCAAAGCCAAACCTCCGCTGAGAGAGACAGTGAGACAGACGTGGAGGAAGAGGGGGTCTCAGGGAAAAAGAGAGAATGTGTCCCTAAGGGTCATACAGACAGGCCGCACTCAGGAAAGAGCCAGCCACCTCTCGGAGACAATGATGTGGAGATAGAGGAAGAGAACAGCTCGCCTGCGGTCCACCTGGAGGGCAGCCGGGCCTCTGCTACGGTGGCCGTCAACAGCCAAGTGGGGGCGAAGCATCAGGTGCATGTGGCATGGGCAAGTAAAGTAGATGTGGAAGCAGAAGGGAGCCCAGCCAAGCTGCCTGTGCCGCGTCTAAATGAGACCCGGCCTCCTCCCACTGCAGACTGTGAAGCAGAGGCAGAAGAGGGCACATCCTTAGCGTTCTCTGTGGTGGCAGGTGTCAGAAGGCGCCAGCTGCCAGCACAGGGCATGCCGGAACAGGCTGCAGCCTTCCTGGAGTGGGGGAGGTCGCCTGTGGCACAAGAGAAGCAAAACCTTCCTGGCTCCAAGGAAAACCTAACAGGTCTGGTGGGCACGGGCACCCCAGGGGCACCCACCCAGCCACAGAGAGAGGGAACACAGACCCACACAGGACAGGAGAGCGCACTACATGTGCCCTGGACCAAGGACGCAGGAGTTAGCCATGATGGTAAGTGCTCATCTTGCTTTCTCCTTGGCCACTAATGGAAACACTGCCCTAGGGTCGCTCAGGACATTTGAGCTGCTTTAACAAAAGACCACATGCAAGGTGACTTGTGAAAAACATTTATTTCTCACAGCCCTGGAGGCTGGGCAGTCCAGATCAGGCACCAACAGCTTCCATGTTGAGGCGCACGTCCTTGTCTTCTCGCCTGGGCTGCTTCTCTTGGCAGTAGCGCGCTTTCTGCGGTCTCTCGTAAGGGCACAGATTTCACCCCTGAGGCTCCTCCCTCCCAGATGCCCCTACCTTCTCGCATCATCACTCGGGAAGATGAGAACACTCAGTGCTTGCTTTATATAGGGGATGAGGGTGGGGAGAAACAGTGGAGGAAAAGGAAGGACTTACAGGTCAGGTGTGCTCTATCATCCACCCTGTACTCCTCCCCACCAGATTCTGAAGAGCTGGACTTGCAGGCCACACAGTGCTTTGTGAAGAGAGAGAGTCACAGCCTGGAAGGTGAGAACATTGTGTTGTGTGAACACCTGTACCAGTGAAGCCGGGGAGTCCGCTGGCGGTCCTTAGGGTGTGAGAGCTGGCTCGGGCAGGGCCTGGGCCGTGGAGGCCTATGGGAGACTGCGCTTAGTCAGTCCTTCCCTGTGCAGCAGTCCAGAGCATGGAGGATGAACCCACCCAGGCCTTTGTGTTTAGCCAACCCCAGGAGCCCGGCCCTTCTCACGGCAGCTTCCAGACCCCAGGTATGAAGACCTCCTCTTACCCCTAACTTGGGGTCCCTGTTTTCTCTCTCTATGTGATTCTGTCATATTGTTTGACTATTTTGCTGATATCTTTCTGTCTCATCAGAAAAATACTAAGTGACACCCATAGAGCAACTAGTCTAGCTTCATTTTGTTTTTAATTTATGCATGCAAGAACTGGGGTACAGGCCAGAGGTGCAGGGGCGGTGAGAGGATTCACCAGAGACACAATGGGGAGCTGAACAGGAGGATCTGCTGAGATACACTGCTGCGGGGAGCAGTGGGTGGGTCAGGAGAGGTCTGCTGCGCCATGTGGTCAGCTCCCTGGCCAGGATAGAACTCATGTCGCAGTGGCTGCCCATAGCTTGATAGTGCTGACACTTAATACTTGTCCACCAGGTAGGCCCCTAGCTGCTGCTGCTGCTGCTGCTGCTTTTTTTTTTTTTTTTTTTTTAATGACCAGCTTTATTTTTTTAAGAAGTTGCTGTGAGAGCTTTTATATGAAGGTATAGTCTAATTTTTTGATACAATGTTATATTCTCTTATTCACAACTTTACTTTAATAGCTAATCTGGTTTATTATCCATTTGTTTATCTTAATCATCTCTCAACCTGTTATCTCTTCTGCCTCTCTTTCTGACTCTGCTGCCAGGTGCCTAGTCTAATTTTTTGATACAATGTTATATTCTCTTATTCACAACTTTACTTTAATAGCTAATCTGGTTTATTATCCATTTGTTTATCTTAATCATCTCTCAACCTGTTATCTCTTCTGCCTCTCTTTCTGACTCTGCTGCCAGGTGCCTTGGATGAGCCATGGGAGGTGTTGGCCACACAGCCGTTCTGTCCAACAGAGTCTGAGGCCTCTGAGACCCAGCCCATTGCTGCCTACCTTGAGGCCCACGGACCTTGTGACAGTTCACCGCAGGGCCAACATCCAAAGAGCCCAGTTCACACACAGCCATTGGGGATTCAAGGTAAAGGGATGCAGACTGTGGATTTGGGTACACCAGGAGCAACAGCAGAGTGGGTGATCCCGGAGAGAGCCATGGAGAGGGAAACAAGAAACCATCCCAGAAGGAAAGAGGAACTGTGGGCAAGGAAGGACATCGCTAGGGCGATGTAGGACAGAGAGCAAAGGCAGACACTCACTAGCGAATCTTAGAGAAAAGGGTCTAACAGAAAGATGGAAAATGCAAATACTAAAGGGATGTGGAGAGTTGAAGTAGAGATTGAGATAGAAAAAGTCAGTCTTTTGCTAGAGAACTATTTGTGAGAGAAGTAGAGGGCAGAGTACCAGAGAGAGGGCAGCCCCAGGTGATCATGTCAGAGTGCCTAAGTGATGCCAGAGAGAGCCGGAGAGGGGAGGCAGAGAGGGAGGCAGGACCTGGAGAGCCCGGGACTTCGGGAACTTGCTTCAACCCCAGTAACTTCTGGGACCAGTCAGGTGGAGGCAGGGAAACCCCAGGGAGCCCCAGAAGGCCACAGAGAGGCAAGGGCAGGGAGGGGGTGACCCAAGGTGTTACACAGCCTCATGATAATCAGCTCCCAAGTAACAGACTACTCGGGGCTCAGCCATATTGTTTTGCTTTCTGTGTAGGCCACCGGCGTTGCAAGCTGCCACCCACTGAGAAGGCTTCCAGGGTGAGCTCTTCCTCCCCTGCCTGCCCTCTAGTTCTTCTCGGCATCCACACCACTGTTTTCCCTAGCCTTCCTTTCATCTCCTTATGCATAGTCTCACTTTTTTTTCCATTTCCATCACTCCTTACCTGACTTTTATCTTTCAACCCTCAGCAGCTATTATTTTGTTTCCCAAGTTCTGTCCCTCTACCTAACTCAGAAAGTCCCTTTCTGCTTTCTGCAGCCACCCTCCTTATTACCATCATCCATTAGCGGAGAGCACTAAACTGGTATTATGAGTGGAGGTCCATGGGACAGAACTGCTTCAGCCCTGGAGGTTCCCAGCCTAGTGGAGGGACTGACAGGAATGCCAGTGAGCACACGTGACCCATTGACAAGTGTCAGAACAGTGTCCATCTTCCCCTCTCTGCCGCTTCCTTACCTGCATCTGTTTCTCCCCAGGGTAATCAGGAATCCCCAGATGTTTGTCTGCCTCCTGCAGTGCCTGAAGCCACAGTGTCACTCCAAAGCCAAAAATATCCTGGGCCTCAACCCCTCTTTCCTCCTTCTCCATCTTCCTTAGAACTGCCCACTCCCAGGAGCAGGCGAAATGAGAGTCAGGTAGCTCCAGAGACTCCCTTGCCCTCAGAGCCGGAGCCATACCATCCAGAGCCCAGAGTAACGCGCCAGGGGTCTTCCAGGAGGACTCCCACTGCAGTTTCTTCTCTTGTCCTTGAACCCCACTTTATCGCCTCCACAGACCAGCCCATCAGGTTTGAACCCCCAGCTTGGGTCTCTCAGATGAGGACTCGTAGATCTTCTGTAACAACTCATGAGCCAGTTTCCCCCACAGAACCCCAGCCCCAGCCTCCTGCTTCCAAAGACCAGCCTGCCACACCCAAACTCAATTCTCAGACCACTCGGGGCAGGAGACATATGTCCTCTGTCAAGATCCCTGAACTGGGTATCCCCATAGCCCCCAAACACCAGTCTTCCACCTCCACAGACCAACATGTCACCCCTGAGCCCACACCTCAGGCCACTCGAGGCAGGACACATAGGTCCTCCCTAAAGACCCCTGAACCAGGAATCCCCACAGGCCCTGAGCTCCGGTCTTCCACCCCCACAGACCAGACTGTTACCCTGGAGCCCACATCTCGGGCCACTCGGAGCAGGACACATAGGTCCTCTGTCAAGACCCCTGAACCAAGTGTTCCCACAGCCTCTGAGCTACAAGCTTCCACCCCCACAGATAACCAGCCTGTCACCCCTGAATCCACATCTCGTGCCACTCGGGGCAGGGCACACAGTTCCTCTCTGAAGACCCCTGAACCAGGTGTCCCTACAGGCCCTGAGCTCCAGTCTTCCTCCCCCACAGACCAGACCATTACCCCAGAACCCACATCTCAAACCATTAGGGGCAGGGCACATAGGTCCTCTGTCAAGACCCCTGAACCAGGTGTCTCCACAGACCCTGAGCCCCAACCTTCCACTTCCAAAGACCAACCTGTCACCCCTAACCCCCCATCTCTGAGCACTCGGAGCAGGACACATAGGTCCTCTGTCAAGACCCCTGAGCCAGGGGTCCCCACAGCTCCTGAGCTTCAGCCTTCCACCCCCACAGATGACCCAGTTACCTCTGAACCCACACCTCGGGCCACTGGGAGTAGGACACATAGGTCCTCTGTTAAGACCCCTGAGCCATGTGTCTCCAAAGCCCCTGATCTCCAGCCTTCTACCACCACAGACCAGACTGTTACCCCAGAGCCCACATCTCGGGCCACTCGGAGCAGGAGACAAAGGTCCTCTCTCAAGACCCCTGAACCAGGTGTGCCCGCAGCTCCTGAGTTCCAGCCTTCCACCCCCACTGACCAGCCTGTCATCCCAGAGCCCACATCTCAGAGCTCTCGGAGCAGGGCACACAGGGCCTTTCTGAAGACCCCTGAGCCAGGAGTCCCCACAGGCCCTGAGCTCCAGCCTTCCACCCCCAAGGACCAGACTATTACCCCAGAGCCCACATCTCGGGCCACTCGGAGCAGGACACATAGGTCCTCTGTCAAGACTCCTGAATCAATTGTTCCCACAGACCCTGAGCCCCAACCTTCTGCTTCCAAAGACCAGCCTGTCACCCCTGAACCCACATCCCGGAGCACTCGGGGCAGGGCACATAGATCCTCTGTCAAGACCCTTGAGCCAGGTATCTCCAAAGCCCCTCATCTCCAGCCTTCCACCACTACAGACCAGCCTATCACCCCTGAATCCACATCTCATGCCACTCGGGGCAGAGCACATAGGTCCTCTCTCAAGACCTCTGAACTAGGGGTCCCCACAGGTTCTGAGCTCCAGCCTTCCACCCCCACAGATCATCCTGTCACCCCTGAACCCACATCTCGGGCCACTAAAGGCAAGACACATAAATCTGTCAAAACCCCCAAACCAGTTAGTCCCACAACCCCTGAGACTGCTCAGGGAAGAACTCATAGGCCCTCTGTAAAGATCCACCAACCTGCTGTACCCACATCTTCTGATCTTGAACCTCCTGTCACGACAGACCAGCCCATCTCTCCCAAGGCCAAGGATCAGAGTCAGAGCAGGGCACTAAGATCTACAGTAAATGCTGCTCCCATTCCTGAAGTCCAGTCTCCTGTCCCCACAGAGCAGCCTATTCCCCCTGAATCCATCCCTCAACCCAACGGCAGCAGGAAGCCAAGGACCACTAGAAAACATGGGTCCCTCACAGTTTCCTATGTCCCTGAACCCTGCCCTGCAACCCCTGAACCTAACTGCCAGTCCTCAAGGAACCAAAGACAGGGCGCTGTGAGAGCCTCTGAATCCTTTAGGACTACCTCTGAGCCTGCCTCTGCCCAGCCTCCGAAGCCATGCACACAGGCTCCCCAGATCGAAAAGGCAGAGGGAGCAGTTAGCTCTGGGCTCACCCTAGAGAACCATCCCGAGGCCTCTCAAAGCTGCAAGAGGCCTTTAGCTACCACAGACTCTCCCCCACCTCAAAAACGACTCCAAAGAGGGGAAGTCCCGCAGAAGACGTCTTTCTTCAAGGAAGAGAAAGAAGATGTTGCAGAGAGGCCAGTGAAGGATGAGGTAAGGAAAGGATTAGGGGTACAAAAGGGCCTAGGTGCTCAGAAATGCCCACCATGGGCTTTCTCAATTCCAGCATGTAGCGATTCCAGGACCAGTGAAGAGAAAGAGAGACCAAACTGAGGAACCCAAGGAAGTATCTAGCCGCAGCCTCCGACGGACCAAACCTAACCAAGAGTCCACAGCCCCCAAAGTAAGTGATGGGGGCGCGTGGCTTTGTGGAAGAAGGGGAAAACGGGGTTTTGGGCCATGCACTGGTGGCCCATGTGGCTGTGACGGCACGACCCCCCCCCCCCTCCAGGTGCTCTTCACAGGCGTGGTGGACGCGCGTGGTGAGCGGGCGGTGCTGACACTGGGGGGCAGTCTGGCCAGCTCCGTGACAGAGGCTTCCCATCTGGTGACTGATCGAATCCGCCGGACAGTCAAGTTCCTGTGTGCCCTGGGGAGGGGTATCCCCATCCTCTCCCTGGATTGGCTGCACCAGGTGAGAGGCCAGAAGGTGGTGGCAGACTGATTGAGACAGGGACCGGTGCTCTTGTAGGTGCCTTAGGTGACAGGATGGGCGGGAAGATAGGAGGAGATAGGACAGGAAACAAGGGAAGTTAGTAAGCAGGCGGCTTCATTCAGAGCCGGTTTCACAGGCACCCCACAAATGCCAGGCAGGAGAGCTGAGAGGTGGCTGGACTGAGCCTTGGTCCTATTCCTGTCCTTAGTCCCGCAAGGCCGGTTGCTTCTTGCCCCCGGATGAATATGTAGTGACTGATCCTGAACAGGAGAAGAACTTTGGCTTCAGTCTGCGGGAAGCCCTGCGCCGGGCTCGGGAACAAAGGCTGCTGGAGGTGAGGCTGGCTTGCATCCCTGGCCTCGGCCAGCCCTCCAGAGCTCCCCCAACTGTCCAGGCTCTCAGCCATGTGTACATCTGCTGCCTCCACCATTTGCTTCCTCTTAGGGCTATGAGATCCATGTCACCCCAGGAGTCCAGCCCCCCCCATCTCAGATGGGAGAGATAATCAGCTGCTGTGGAGGCACTGTCCTACCCAGCATGCCCCGGTTCTACAAGGTATGATGGCATGTTCAGAGGTAGCGCCGGCAGCTGCAGAGGTGGCTGCAGACCGTGGGTGTGTAGATGGGAGTATGGAGAGGCAGCCACGGTGGGTGGCGGAACGCCAGGAATGGGTGGGAATGGGGGAAGAGGTCTGCCCATTCAGAGTGGATTTACTTTATTTCATATGTTAATATTCACAAAAGGGAAAAGAAGGCAATGAACCTTCCTATACCAGTCACTCAGATTCAACAGATTAACCTAGGTTTTGCTACATGTGGTCTCTGCACTTCTTTCCCGTTCATTTTCTTTGCTGAAGTATTGTAAGCAGACATAGTTTTTCCTACATAAAGTATGCACCTCTAAGAAACAGGTGTATTTTCTTATACAATCACACTGCCACAAATCACCCTTAACAAAACTAGTAATAGTTTCATGATCATTTTTTCATACTTTAATAATCATTTCTCCCCAGCTCTCTGAAACTATCTTTATATCGTTCAAGATTCAGAGCCCATGTATTGCCACAAATGTTGCATCTCTACAATTCTCTTGATCCAGAGCACCCCGCCCAACCCATCCAGCTTTTGATTATGCCTTTGACTTTCTGCAGAAAGTAGGTCACTTGTTTCTTAGAATGTTCCACAGTCTGGATTTTTCTGTTTGTCCCCTCGTGTCATTTATCATCTTCTTCTATATGTCCTATACATTGTAGTTAATTTAAAAGCTTGAATAAGGTCAAGTTCAACTTCTCAGGCAAGAGTGCTGCGTGGACAGTGCGGGGCACCCCGGCTGTTAAGACTGCGTCATGGATCGGATCTGTTTGTCAGATTCTGACTTCTGTCTTTGCACGCCCTTGCCCAGCCTCGGCGAGTTGTGATCACATGCTCCCAGGACTTCCCTCGCTGCACCGTGCCCTGTCGCGTAGGGCTGCCGGTCGTCTCACCCGAGTTCCTGCTGACTGGAGTGCTGAGACAAGAAGCCACGCCGGGGAACTTCGTCCTCTCCGCTTCGGAAGTGTCATCCGCCTGAAGACCTCCTCCAAGCCCGTTGCCCTCCCAGACCAGTAAATAAAGTATCAGAAAATACTGGAAGAAATAACTTAGGGCTTTAGGAAGGACTGGGGTATACTGATCTTACTTGCATTGGAATACGAATGGGATCAAAAGGTTTATGGGTGAACAAAGATAAGGAAATTAGGAGCCACAGATTTTGATTAATGGCCATTTAACATTAACATGAGCCCCAGGCTCATGTTATATATGACTCTCATCGCTGAACTCGTGCTAAAGCTTGGTGGCACACACAGGAGCCTGCCTCCCGTTTGAAAACCATTTTTCTTCCTTGTTTCTTCTTACTCATCTGAAACATCATAGGGATGATTTTAGTATCGGGAACTTGAAGAGATGTTTGGGGTGAGTAGACTTGAGGATGGCCTTACAGAATGCTACTAAAATATTTCCCTCTCTCCTGGTTCTGTCTTATGAGAGCCTTGACTTTGAGCAAGTCTGTACTTTAATGGCTGCCTTTTCCAATATTTATAAAATAATTAGAGCTTATGTTTAGCTTCTGTGATAAAGTTTCACTCTGTGCCTTATGGTGTCGTGCATTTTTTAATGTAACATTTCTTAGAATTTTTGAAGTTGGTTGGGTCAAGATTATGGAGAAATTGGAACCCTTACACATTGCTGGTGGGGATGAGAAATGGTTCAGGCTGAGGTTAACCAAGTTTTTCAAACAATTCAACATAGTTTTTAACCATGTGACCCAGCAATTCCACTCTGGCTAAGAATTAAAGCAGGTCTTTAAAACAAGTACTGTATTCAGTGTTCACATCCAGTATTCATAATGGCCGAAAGATAGACAGCACACAAATGTCCATCAGTGGGCGGGTGGGTGTGGCCTACCGCGGGGTTAGCGTGGAGGAGAGGACACGCTGGCGAGTGTTTGTAGGGTGACCCTCAGAAGCAGGTTGCTAAGTGAAAGGCGTGGACAGAAGATCCCGTTGTAGGCTTCACTCCCTTAAATTATCCAAAATAAGTAAATCTGTAGATCCAGAGTAGGTTGGCGGATGCCAGGACCTGGAGCAGGGTGGGGGAGGAAGAGGTGACTGCGCTGGGTCCAGCCCTCTTCGGGGATGGGGTTTGATTTGGGCATGCGGAAAAGGATCCGGCACTAGATGGAAGCTGCACGTTGTGAATGGCCACGTACCAAGTGGCTCCTTTCACATGAACTTCTCTAAAAAAAGGTTGGCTTTGCACACTACTCGAGTCTGGAAAGCTTTGGTGTAGCATAAATAACATGAACTTTGTCAGACATTGTGCTGGTTTTTAAATATAGCCAATCTCATGTTAAGCACAGCCATTGTGGGTGTGGCACACAGTATGACCCAAATCATTAGTCCTCTTGCACAGCTCAGAACCCTGAGAGCCTTGTGCTGTGTGCTGCTGCCCATGTCCCTGAGAGCCACAGGATTCCCAGCAATCCCTGCAGCTCCATTGCCCTAGTTAGCACTCAGACTCCTGGAGAATAGGGATTTCCATTGTGCTCCAGCAGTCCCGTAACAGCATACTGTGCAGGAGTGCCTCCGGGCCAGGGTCTGGTGAGGAGCAATGGTGCAGGCGAGTTCAGTAAAATGAAAACTACAAATAAGTGGACAAGGTGCAGCAAAATCACAAAGACTGCTGGGCCCTGGTATCCAGAATTCCCTTGTGATCTCTAAACCAAAGATGAGATTCTGCCATATAGTGAGGGCTCCCCCCAAAGCTGTGCTATTTACTGATAGTCCACACAGGACAACCTCCTGAAGCAGAAGGCAGGGTGCAGCCTGACAGGAAAGTCGGTGGTACAGCCCACAGCAGCAGGATTCAGAGGGAGGCAGGCAAGGCCTGCAGAGAGGGTGTGGGGCCTGTGGGCACTGCTTAGCAGTTCTCTCACCCTGAGTCCACTCAACTAGCAGTTCTCATCTGGGGGGATTTACCTCTTTGGGTGTGTTTCTTCTGCCTGTAAATTGGAATTAGCGCGACAGTGTCTGAGGTACCTACCATGGCCATTGCTGCTATGACTAGATCATGCGTCTTCAGCTGCCTGACCTCTGATGGAAGAAACCTTACTTTTACTCTGCTATTTAGATATGACTGTTAGGCTGCAGTGGAAGAACAAAGGTGGCCACTGCAGTCTGACTCTGAGCTGATCACACTGGCATCCTGCAACCTCTTAGATGTTTAAGAGTTCTCCTAATAGTAGGAGAACAGGGCCCTCCCTGGTGGCACAGCAGGTTAAAAGCACAGCACTAAGAAGCTAAAGCCACTTCAGCATGAGTTCAATCCCCAGCCCCAGAGGTGACCCACATGGCGCAGCAGACCTCTCCTGACCCACCCGCTGCTCCCCTCAGCAGTGTGCTTCCTCAGTCTGCTCCCCACTCTGTCTCTGGTGAATCTTCTCACCACCCCTACACCTCTCACCTATAACCCAGTTCTATATGCATAAATAAATAAATCTTAAAAAAAAAAAGACAGGTCTGTCCACTTCTCTAAAGAGGAAATGCAGATAGCCAACAAGCATATGAAAAAATGTTCAAATCACTTATAATGAGGGAGATGCAAATTAAAACCACAATGAGATACTACTCCACACCAGTGAGAATGGCACATCTTAAAACAGCTAGCAACAACAGGGCCCTCCCTGGTGCCACAGCAGGTTAAAGCACAGCACTAAGAAGCTAAAGCCACTTCAGCATGAGCTCAATTCCCACCAGCCCTGGAGATGATCCACATGTCGCAGCAGACCTCTCCTGACCCATCTGCTGCTCCCCTCAGCAGTGTACTTCCTCGATCTGCCTGTTCTGGTCCCTGTTCTGTGTGTGGTGAATCCTCTCACTGTCCCTGCACCTCTGACCTGTACCCCAGTTCTGTATGCATAAATAAATAAATATTTTTTAAATAAATATATATTAAAAAAAAAACACAACTAGCAACAAACAACAAATGTTGGCAAGGATGTAGAGAAAAAGGAACTCTCCTGCACTAATGGTGGAAATGTAAACTAGTATAACCACTATGGAAAACTGGAGGTTTCTCAAAATGCTAAAAATGGAGCTTCCATAGGACCCAGCAATCCCACTCCTAGGTATTTACCCAAAATTCATAAGAACACTGATTCACAAAAACCTACACCCTCCCCATGTTTATTTCTGCTTTATTTACAATTAGAAAGACATGGAGTCAATCCAAATGCCCCAAAGTGGATGACTGGATTAAAAAGATGTGGTACATATACACAATGGAATATTACTCAGCAACCAAAAAGATAAACTCATGCCTTTTGCAGCAACATGGATGGAGCTAGAAGGGATCATGCTTAGTGAAATAAGCCAGAAAGAAAAGGAAAAATACTGGGTGGTTTCACTCATAGCAGGACTATAAAGGACCAGGGGAGAAAATAATAACAATAATGAACAATTATATACCAGAGACATTTTATGAGGGTGGAGTGGGAATGGAATCAAAAATGGGGGGGGGGAAGTGCACTGGACCATGGTGATGGCAAACGAGGTGATTGGGTGATGAGAAGTCCATGGGGATTACAACTGAGCTCCTGTGCTGCTCCAGAGAACTCTGTGAGAGCTCATTTTAGATGAAGTTCTGTCTTCACTTTAGATAACCAGGCACACTAGGATTCAAACCACATGACCGGCAAAATGATGTAAAAACAAACTTATTAAAAAAAAAAACAGGTCTGTGGGGAAAGTGCGTTAAGACAGCTGGTCTTTGTAGCTTCTGTTAAATAAGTGGAATCAAACTAATAAGGTTGCAGAGTCAAGTCTTAGAATTCCTGGTTACAAACTTGGATAAAATTAACCTACCACAAATTTACAGTCGTAATAAAGTTTCTATCACAAATATTTTAACATTTTTACATCTAGTTTACAAATCAACTGCATGGTGTTAGAACAGAACTTCCTGTGTTAGAGTATTTCTCTGCCCTTCTTAGTAAGTAAAGAGGCAACAGTACTAAGGACAGAATAAACATCAAATTCTTTTTGTGGTAAAATAGTCACTCTTCTCCACCTACAAGATGTGAGAGCTGAGTCAGTTTTGGGGGTCTCAGCCTGGCCCAACAGTCTTACATTTTCTCACCGATCCTTATTAAAGTATTAAGTGAAGGGGGACCTCCCTGTGTGCAAGGAGTTAAGTCACAGTACTATAAAGCTACTAGCAGCCACTGTGGCAGGGGTTGGATCCCAGGGGTTTGATGGATCCCCAGCCAGGGAGCTGGCCCATGTGGCCCAGCAGACCTCTCCTGTCTCACCCACTGCTTCCCTCAGCAGTGTATTTCGGTAGATCCATGCCTGTTCTGTCAAAGGTGGTTCTTCTAACCTCCCTGCACCTCTGGCCTACACCCCAATCCTTATATGCATAAATAAATACATCTTTTTTTTTTTTTAAAGTGTTACACGCCAGACTTTGTACGCTCTGGCACTGGTGGTTTTCAAGCCAAGGCTGTTAGTGGAGTTCCTGTGCTGCTCCAGAGAACTCTGTGAGAGCTCATTATAAATAAAGTTCTGTCTTCTTCAGATAATCGGGCACGCTGGGATTCAAACCACATGACCGGCGAGTGGTGCCCGCTTCACCTGTCACTTGGGATTCCAACATTCCCTCTGTGACGCAGACTGGAGGCTGGGGCCTGGCACTCACAGGCAAAGCGCAGCGGAGAAGGAGCACACTCGGCAGCGCGGGAAATCCGGGCGTGGGCGCTGGAGCCCCGCCCTCCGGGGTGGGCCCCCCGGGCAGAGGCGGAGCCTGGGCGGGGACTGTGGTCGCGGGAACCCCAAACCCGCCCCTTTCCCCACCCCCCATTCTCGCCATGGCCTCTGTACTGCTTCTGGTCCCCGCCGCCCTGGCCTCTTTCGTCCTGGCTTTCGGCACGGGAGTGGAGTTCGTGCGCTTTACCTCTCTTCGGCCACTTCTCGGAGGGCCCCCGGAGACTGGTGGTCCGGGTGAGCTGGGGGGCCGGGAGGAGCGCTGGGGCAGGGAGGTGGAGCCGGGAGCCGGGCGAGGGCGGGGCGTGGAGACAAATGACAGAGGAAGTTCTGTAGCGCGAGCTGGAACCCTGAACCCGCGGAAAACTGCTGGGGAGACCCGGGGACTGAATTAGGGAACTCTGGGGTGGGCGGGAGATTTGGGAGCGTGAGGCGGGGCAGGGAGAGGGCGGTCCGTAGGGAATTCTAGAGAGAGTTGTGAGAGGGCGGGATGGGCGAGTGCTGCAAGGAACGTTCATTTGGAGAGTGAAAAGAGAGGGATTTGGAGTGAAAAGAGAGGGCGATCCAACCCGGGCTGCTCCGGCGAGCTTTCGTGACGGCCTAATGTAAATCTACTTCCCGGGCTCCCAAGGAGGGGAGAAACAGAACAGAAAAGTGAGGCAGCTCCTAGAGGGAAAGCACCCCGACTCCCTCCCGAGGACACGAAGGGACGAGACCTGTGACTCCAAGGGAAGATGAGCGTGGGCAGGGTGTCCCCTCCGTCTTCTTGACCTTCTGTGCCTTTCTCTGACCCCCAGATGTGCGCCAGGGCTGGCTGGCTGCTCTGCAGGACCGCAGCGTCCTCACCCCGCTGGCTCGGGACCTGGTGCTCCTGCTGCTATTTGTGGGGCAGCACAGCCTCATGGCAACTGAGACCGTGAAGGCCTGGACGTCCCGGTACTTTGGGGTCCTTCAGCGGTCACTGTACGTGGCGTGCACTGCCCTGGCATTGCAGGTATGAGGCTCTGGCAGCTGAGTCCACCAGGGAAACTGAATCTGTGGGAAGGATGCCCTCGACTGGAGGGACAAAGACCTTAAACTTCAGATAAAATGCGGGTTTGGGAGAACAAGTCATTCAGGGCTCTAATCTCAGCGGTAGCCGCAGCACACATCCTGCTTTTCTCAAAGAGGGTGAATGAACCACTGGTCGTTTTCCAAGAACCGAAGTGTGCATTCTCACCTTTGCAACTTCGTCTGTGTTGGTCCAGCTTGAGATAGCCCATTTTGGCCTCTTCAGTCCTACCGTTTCATCAGCACCACTTCTCACTTCCCAGTGAGCGTCTACTGCACAGTTGGCATGGGTTACTATCGGGTTTTTTACCCTATTTTTTTTTAAAGATTTATTTATTTGTGCATACAGAACTGGGGTACAGGCCAGATGCTCAGGGGCGGTGAGAGGCTTCACCGGAGACAAAGTGGGGAACAGAACAGGCAGATCAATGAAGTACACTGCTGAGGGGAGCAGCGGGCGGGTCAGGAGAGGTCTGCCACACCATGTGGTCACCTCCGGGGCAGGCGGGAATCAAGCTCATGAGGAAGCGGCTTTAGATTCTCAGTGCTGTGCTTTAACCCGCTGCGCCACCAGAGAGGGCCTTTACCCTATTTTTTAAAGGAGGTTTTTAAAATATATATGTATATATATTTATTTATGCATACAAGAGGTGGGGTACAAACCAGAGGTGTGGGGGGTGAGAGGATTCAGCAGGGACAGAGTGGGGAGCAGAACAGGCAGATGTATTGAAATACACTGCTGAGGGGAGCAATGGGCGAGACAGGAGAAGTCTGCTGGGCCATGGGGGTCACCTCCCTGGCCTGGGGATCAGACTATCAAACTTGTGCTGCAGTAGCTGCACATAGCTTCGTAGTGCTGAGACTCAACCCCTTGCACCTCATAGCCGGGAAGCCTCCACCTTTGTTATTGGACATCATTCTCTCAGTTTCTAGATTGTTTTCCCTTATTGACAACCTGAGCTTCCTGACAATCTCCAGGTTGGTTTTAATAGGAAAGTCAGCACGGGTAGCTTTGCCTATCACCTGGTCTTCAGGGGAGGAACACACAGTTCATCCTAATACCCACCCAGCACTCTCAGCAAGCCAGCCTGGGGTGGGCACAGCCTGGGGTCTAGGTCTCTGCGGGCAGGCTGCTGGCATACCCAGCCCCTCCTCCTTCCCCAGCTGGTGATGCGCTACTGGGAACCGGTACCCAGAGGCCCCGTGCTGTGGGATGCACGGGCGGAGCCATGGGCCACCTGGGTGCCCCTCCTCTGCTTTGTGCTCCACGTTATTTCCTGGCTCCTCATCTTCAGCATCCTCCTCGTCTTTGACTACGCTGAGCTCATGGGCCTCAAACAGGTGAGATTCCCCATCCCCTACCTGAGACAAAGTCTGCGGCTCTAGAGCCCGCTTTCCCTTCCAGGACTTCCCGCCCCTCCTCCCATGCCCCTCCACCTTCCTTTCCACTCCCTCATCTGCCTCCCTTTATGTAAGATGGTTCTCCCCCTCAAAGACCAGAAATCAGGGCAGGGCAGGGGTGCGAGTCTCAGAAGGACGCTCCTGGCTTGAGTTTAGAGGAGGGGGCCCAGAAGCAGGGGAAAGAAGCAGCAGTTAAGTTGCTTCTTTCTAAACTATCTCCCTCTCCTAGGTGTACTACCATGTGCTGGGGCTGGGCGAACCCCTGGCCCTGAAGTCTCCCCGGGCTCTGAGACTCTTCTCCCACCTGCGCCACCCAGTGTGTGTGGAGCTGTTGACGGTGCTGTGGGTGGTGCCCACCCTGGGCACTGACCGGCTTCTCCTCGCTCTCCTCCTCACCCTGTACCTGGGCTTGGCTCATGGGCTTGACCAGCAAGACCTCCGCTACCTCCGGGCCCAGCTGCAAAGAAAACTCCACCTGCTGTCCCGGCCGCAGGAGGGGGAGGCCAGGGAGGCTGAGTGAGGCCCTAGCCCTGGTTCCAAGCCTTATACTTCCTCTTGCCTTAGAATTATCGATCCCTCGACATCCAGGCACTGGCTAGTTCAGTCCAGAAGCCCCAGAAGCCCAAACCCATAAACTGAAGGGGCTGTCCCTTCATGCTTGAGACTCCAGTTCCTGGGTGGGTTCAGCTCCATACCCCAAATTCCGAGTCTCTCACTGAACTCCAAGGTTCATTTCTCACCAGCCTGGAAGAAAGCATGGGGAACTAATCTGTCTTGGCAGTTAGGTGCTGTCCTCCATTCCTCACAAGAAGGGTATGGCCTTTTACTGCCTCTGCGCCTCAGGGATCCCCTTCTCCACATACCCCCTGCCCCCAGCTCTGGACCAGGGTCTGCAAGTTTGACCAGATCGCTGCTGCTCCAGACTTCAAGCCTGGCAGCCCCTGATGCTCCGCCCCTGGGCTCCATCCTCGAATCCAGTTTAGAGGCTTCAGATAACTAAAGGTTCCTTGCTCTCAGGAACATGGGTTGCAGGAAAATAAAATTCAGCCTGTTTTTTCTACTTATGGCCTGCAGTCTGTCACTATCTCCCAAGCCACAGGACTGAGTTTGGGAAGATGAGTCCGGGCCTGGGCGCGCCGCGCTGGAGTCTAGGCAACCGCCGCGCCCTCTGGCGACAGCTCAGCAGCGGCCACTCCTCGCGGACTCGCCCCCATCTTCCCGGGTCGACCCGGACCCCCCTGCCTCCAAATCCCCCAGTTTGCCCCCAGCAGACCAGGAGATCCTTGGGAGGCTAACAGAGAGGGAACGGGAGCAGCGGCAATGATAGGGGAGCGAGCACCCCAAATATCTTAGCGCCTCTTCTGCCGCTTTCCTTCCCAAGGTTCCCCCACAGCCTGGCGGAGGCCTTGGACCCCACAATAACAAAGGCCGGCCGCGGAGGGCAAAAGCGCCGGGAGGAGCGGCAGGAGATGGGAAGGGCGGGCCCGGCTCCGAGCAGCTGCAGCTTCCTCCCCTGGTCCCTTGAGGGGCCTGAGTCACCGGCCGCCGCCCCGGTCGGCGGGCTGGGGGCGGGGATCTGGACCCCAGGATTCTCCCAGGCTGCTGGGCGGGAACGGGGTGGGGCGCCTGCAGAGCCAAGAGCGGTGGGAAAAGGGGAGTCACGGAGCAGAGTCCCACGCGGGGTCCGCCGCTTCGCGGCCACGCCTTCTCCCGGGCTCCGCCCCGCGCCCCCTTCCCACTCCCCATTGTCTTCAGACAAAGCGGTTGCCGCCCCCCGCCCGGCCCCCAGATCTCGGTGTCCGTCCCTCCTCCCGGGCTCGCGCTCTCCCTCCTCCCTTTCTCCTTCCTCCCCTCCCCTCCCGCCTGTCTCCGGATCTCCCTCGATCCCTCTCTCCTCCTCTTCCTCTATCCTCCGCTGCTCCCGACGCCCGGCTCCTCCGCTACCCTCCCCTGGGAACCCCGCGGCGTGTGAGTTCACCGAGGGGCTCGAGACTTGGGAGGGCTGTTTCCGCTCCGGCGCCCCGCGCCGTCCCTGGACCGGACCTTCGGGGGCTCCCCTTTGTGCCGAGATTGCCTGTCTGGGCGGCCAGGGTCGGCAGGGGACCCGGCGCTGTCAGCGCTCCGCGGGCGGGAGACCGGGCGCTGGGCGCAGGCTGGACAGGCGTGCGCGGGTGGGTCCTCGCGCCCGGCTCGGGCACCGCCACTGGGGGCGGTCGACGGTGGGGACTGGGTGCGCGGGGTGACGCCGGGGTTCTGGGAAGCGCTGGCAGCCCCCACGCCCGGGTTCCGAAAGTCCCGGGGGAAGGGTATTTCCCCAGATCCGCCTGGGGGCGGAGAGCTCGCGGAGGGGTGGGGGTTGGGGGCCGGAGAGGCGTGGCCCCAGCGGGGCTGGAAGGGGAGCCGGGACCTCTGCGGCCCGCGCCGAGGCTTGCCCTGCTGCCGCCGCCGATCTCCCGCTCCCCGCTGCCCCCGGCTCCCCTTCTCCCCTAGGCTCCCCCTCTCACCCTTTCTCCTCACCACCCCAATACCCCTTCACGTCCCACTGCTTCCTCTAAGGTGGGATTCCCCGACCTCCACTCTAAAGCCTCTGGGTAGGGTGAGTAACCTCGCCTGAGCCCTGTGCCCCGGCTCCCTCAGCCTGGCTTCCCTCTTCCCTCACACCAACTCTGCCTTTCACCCTTCCCTCACCTCCCATCCTTGTGGGCCGTCTGTGGCCCACTAACCTGGCACTGCCAAATCTGGCTCCTGCCTCTGCCTCACAGAGGCCCTCAGTCACGGTCTCCATTCTTCTCACCCCGCAGCAGGCCCCTGCCTCCCACTAACTTGGCTTTTACCGTTTTCTTTACTTTCTCACTTTCCCCCTTTTCAGCACTCTCTCTCTTTCCCTCAGTCCTAACCCTGAGCTCCTCTGCTTTCTTCTGTGGCCCACCTCAGGCCCTCCACTTCCTTTACCTACCCCCACCCCCAGTCTGACCCCCTGGGCCTCTCTGGACCCTCTCCTTCCTGTTCTCTGCCTCCAGTGCTCCCCACCCTCATCTCCAGACAACCATGGCCACCATCCCTGACTGGAAGTTACAGCTGCTAGCCCGGCGCCGGCAAGAGGAGGCAGCCCTTCGTGGTCGTGAGAAGGCTGAGCTGGAGCGGCTGTCCCAGATGCCAGCCTGGAAAAGGGGTCTCCTGGAGCGCAGACGGGCCAAGCTTGGTTTGTCTCCTGGAGAGCCGAGCCCTGTGCCTGGGACTACAGAGGCTGGACCTCCAGACCCAGATGAATCCACCGTGCTCCTGGAGGCCATTGGGCCAGTGCACCAGAACCGATTCATTCGCCAAGAGCGGCAGCAGCAGCAGCAGCAGCAGCAGCAGCAGCAGCAACAGCAGCGGAGTGAAGAGCTACTTCCTGAGAGGAGGCCTGGACCTTTGGAGGCCCGGGAGCGTAGAACCAGCCCTGGGGAGATGTGTGATCAAAGCCCCAAGGGAAGAGAGTCTAGAGAAGAGTGGCTCAGTTCCAGGGAGACCAGAGAGAGGAGGTTAGGGGTAGGGGGGGCTCGAGAGTCAAGCCCCAGGACTTTGGAGGCCCAGGACCAGAGGCAGAGTCCTGGAGAGTCTGGAGACCAGAGCTCCAGACTGTCAGAGCTTCAGAAATGGAGGCCGAGCCCTGGAGAAACGTCAGAGCGCAGTCTGAAACTGACAGAACCCAGAGAACAAAGCCCCGGGAGGAAAGAGGTGGTGACAAGTAGACTGAGCCCATCAGAGGCTGAAAACCAGAAGTTGGGCTTGACTGAGGCCCACAAGTGGAGGCCAGACCCTGGAGAGTCTCAAGAACAGCGTTTGCTACAACGAGAGGCATCAGAGTGGAGGAATTCAGGAGAAGAAAGGAAAAACTGCTCTGAGGAATGTGGGAAAAAGGAAGAGAGGCCAGTTCCGAGTACGGCCTCAGAAGAGATTACGGAAGAGACCCTGACGAGGGATGTACCAGACTACAGCCCTGGGAGAATGGAGGCAACAGAACAGAGTCCCAGCGCTGTGGAAGATGGTGAGAGGGGCTTAAGGCTGACAGAAGGGTGGAAGTGGACCTTGCACTCTGGGAAGGCTCGAGAATGGACACCCAAGGACACAGAAACTCGAACTCAGAAACCAGAACCTCCAGACTCAACTGAGAAGTGTCGGGGGTCATTTGGTATGGGGGCAGGGGAAGGGGAGGCTAAGAAGGAGGCGGGGGCTCGGGGCAGGCCCCTGGGCGTCCTGCAGAACCGCTGCCCTGCGCCCTCCCCTCTTCCACCAGAGGACGCTGGGACTGGAGTCTCTAGACTGAAGGAAGAGGAAGCAGTGGAACCCCAGCCCCCACCAGCCCCACCTGCCCCCCAGTCTCCTGGGGATCCCCTCATGAGCCGGCTGTTCTATGGGGTGAAGGCAGGGCCAGGGGTGGGGGCCCCACGCCGCAGTGGACACACCTTCACAGTCAACCCCCGAAGGTCCATGCCCCCTGCGACCCCCGCCACTCCAGCCACCTCAGCCACCGAGGATGCTGCAGCCTCGGGGGCTGGGAAGAAGCGGTACCCGACTGCTGAGGAGATCTTGGTTCTGGGGGGCTACCTCCGCCTCAGCCGCAGCTGCCTTGTCAAGGGGTCTCCTGAGAGGCACCACAAACAGGTAGGGAGCAGCCCGGCCAGATGCCTTGGAAGTCTATGCCTCAGTCTCTGGGGTCGGTTGTCTTTTTTATACCCCCATATGCTTGTCCTCTGTTCGCTCGCTCGCTCAATCCTGCCACCACCCTTCCTCTGCACACACACACCCTTCCTTTGCGTGGCTCCCCATTCATTTCCAGCTCCACAGTCCCGCTGGCTACCAGGCCTGTCCCTGGGTGTGTCTCTGGGGTGTGCCCAGACTGCTCACTCTCCCTTCCCTCAGGCTCTGAATTCACCCCATTTTCTTTCTTTCCTTCCTTGAGTCTGTGTAGACCTAGCCCAGTCCATCTGGTGGGGGCCTGAACCCAGACAACAGCTTGGAGCCTGAGGGCTGGGTCACCCTGGTGAAAGCACTGAGCCTTCTAGGCAGACTGTTGGGAAGGGGAATCTAGGGAGGTGGAGGGGAGGCTGGGGTTCTAGGGAGAAATGTCAGGGAGAAGTGAGTGGAGGAAGCTGTCCCCAGGAGAGAGGGCAGAGCTGAGCAGGGCCTCCTGGGGGAGAAGGGGTAGGGAAAGGAGCAGGCTGGCCACAGAAGAGAGAGAAGGCTTTTGAACCCCAGTCCACCCCATGGGAGAGACACACACAGAGGCCGTTTGAAGTGGGTGACCTTGGGGTTGCACACCCCCAGCTGGGCCACTGCCTTGCACAGTGCTCCCTTCTCTCTTGGGACAAGCAAAGCCTTCTCCTATTCCCAAATGCCCGCCCCTCACTCCCTAGCCACCCCCCCCTTTTCCTTCCCCAGAACTGGCTCAGCACTTGGTTTTCCCCTCTTCCTACCACCCAGGCCTCTCCTCCCCTTGGGGAAGAAAAAGAGAAGTGAATTTGGACACTCTGTGCTGAGAGGGGCTGGCAGGAAGAACCACTGGATCTGGAAGCCAGGGTGAACCCCAGGTTGGGGGGTGAGGCCGCCAAGGGTCAGAGAACTTGTGGGGAAGTGGGAGCAACCAGCCTACTTCCCCCTGGCCCAGCCCCTTCCCTACAAAACAACCTGTTTCCAGTTTGCAAGTGGAAGAGGTGGGGTGGGGGGTAACCAATACATCTCCCAAGTCTACTCTCCAGGCCTCATCCCACGTGACGTGCTCACATTTGGGTTTCGTGTTCTTAGTGTCTGTGGGAAACTGCAGGTACCAAAGACCAAGGCTAAGCCTGGGTGGCACTTGATCCCCCAATTCGTCTACATGTGTTGCTTAAGCTCCATCCCGTCCCTGAGCCACAGAATGTATCCTGAGCCCCTTCCCCTCCAGCGGAGGCCTTGCAAAGGAGGTGGGCAGGAAGCTACTTCAGAAAAGTCACTTCCTAGTGAAGCCGCCTTCGCCTGTAGGGAGAACTCAAAGGAAAGAGCAGAAGTTTTGAGGCCCAAAACCCAGCAGCCCTGTGCAGGGCAGGACCTGTGATGATGACTGTACCTAGGTCAGGGAGCAAGGCAGCCGGAAGCAGGTCGGCCCAAAACAGGAAGCCTGGGGTGGGGGCCGGAAGGCTGGTGTGAGTGGGGAGTGCTGGGCCATGGCCTGCCAGCACTATTCAGGATGTGGTGAGAGAATAAGGAAGCAGCCTCTGGGTGGGGGTGGGGGAGAGCAGCACAGGGCTCTGGAGACCCAGACACCTGCCCTCCACCCTGGGGCTTTCTCCCTGCTCTCAGCAGCCAGCTCATCTGGCTGGCCAGCCCTGTCCCAACCACTGGCTCAGGATGGGAGGCCCCCTCTCCCTGCCTTCCCTAAATAACTCCCGTTTGCAGGCTAATTCCATCAAATGCGTCCCTGCCAGCAGGTCAGGGAGAATCGCAGGGCTGAACTGTGGCTGGTGCCCTTCCCCTGAGGCCCATCTGGCTGGGAGATTGGCCCCTCCCCTCTCTGGCCCCCTTGTGACCTTATATAGCTGCTGAGAGAGGAGCCAGTGAGTCACCCCCTCCCTCCTCTCCCCCCCCCCTCAATGAAGACTGCATTCCTGAGAAGCCCAGTCAGAAGTTGGGGGTAGTTGGGGGGTGGTGAGGCGAAATTGGGGTAGGGGGAAGAGAGACAAACCTGCACTGAGCACAAATAAAATGAGTTCTCATTCAGAGTGGATAAGAAACTACAGCTGTCTTGTCTTTAAAGCGGAGAGGGAAACAGCTAACAGAAGTAGGCGCCCAGAAGCTTGGGTGAGTGTGGGTTACAGAAGTGTGAAAAGCAGGGCTCTCACCAGCAGCCCACACAGCCACTGGTGGGCGACTGGGCTCCCCAGCCCTCCCTGCCCCACATTGTTCCCCAGTGTTGGGCCTCTGTTGACACTTCATCTGAGGCCCGGGTGAACCCTCACCTGGTCCAGTGTAGCAACTTTTGATTGCAGACACATGGATAACAACTAAGTAAATTCTCTGGAAGGTTAGAAGGTGACTAGTGATTGTGGGGGAAAAGTAGAACGTAACCAGAGCCAGGCCGGCCAGGAGGTGGAGGGAGCCAGCACGACAACTCTATAATTGCGCAATCTGATAACAGCAGCCATGGGGATACTTGGGGAAGAGTGTTCTAGGCAGAGGGAACAGCGCTTGCAAAGCCTTGAGGTGCAGTGGCCCTGGAGGTCCGCGCAGCCAGTGCCCTGGAAGGGGAGGATGCCACGGAAGTGAGGGAGGACTGGCACGTTGGGAGCACCCTGGAGGCCATGGTCAGACTCTGGCTCATGTGCCACGTGAGATGGCAGCCAGTGTAGTATCTGGAGTTGAGAAGTGACAGTCTCCAGGTTCCGGTGTCCCCTGGACACAAGGTGTCAGCAGCACCCACCGGCCACCCTCCTGGCTTCTCTCTTCTCACAGCCCAGGGCACTTGGACACTCACGGAACCAGGGACAGCCTGAGAGGCCATCTGGACTGCCTTCCAAGCAGTTCACACGGAATCCTCCCTTTGTCTCCTTAATCGCTGTGGCTCCCAGAGATAATCCCACCCTGCCCTTTCCCTGAGCTTCTTAGGAGGGCACAGGGGACCAGTGAGAGGCAGTGGGCGCAGCTGGGGCTTGCCTGCCCTGAAGGCGTGTGTCTAGGCAGGACTTTGTGCCCCTCCAGTCCTCCTGGGCATCCCTGTCTCTGCTCTCCCTGGGGTGCACTCCACCCCCACCCTGTGTTTGCCTGGACTTTCCTCATTGCTCCTCACCTCCCATTGCTCATCTTCTCTGTGTGTTAAGTGAGAATCTCATTTCTTCTGAACCCTGCACCCCCCCCCCCCACACTAGACCTCTTTGCTTGTGGTCCAGCTGCGAGAGGAGCCATGGGAGCCAGGAAGGTTGGTGTCCAGGGTTCTGGGTTTCCTGGGATTAGCGACTGGCTGGAGGACTTGGATACCAGTGGGATTGACCTTTTTATTTTTTTTTTTAAAATTTATTTATTTGTGCATACAGAACTGGGGTACAGGCCAGAGGCTCAGGGGCGGTGAGAGACTTCACCAGAGACAGAGTGGGGAGCAGAA